ACTCATTATGTACCAAATCTTGTGACTAGAAATGAGCCTCACGTCCTCACTTTAAGAATGTGGATGCATTGGAACCAATCCCTATATATATATATATATATATATATATATTATGTAAAAAGTATATATAACAAACCCATAAATTTTGAACTTTTTTTTTTCTTTTTGGATTTTGATGCATTATTATTACTATTATTAGCTTTTAGAATGGTAATTGTATCAATGTACTAAAGATGGAGATTATATTTTGCTAGGTTGAGGAGAGGTTACATCTTTCGGTGGAATGACCGAATGAGGCATGACTAGATTTTACCTAATTATTAAATAGAAAAATCTAAAAGAAGTGTGAAAATATGTTGATATTTTACATGAAAACCTTGAAAGAAACATAAATTTGATTAAAAAGGTATAAACAACAATGTTCTTGATTCCGACGAGTTGAGTGAGTCCACCCGTATTGAGTCATAGTCAAACCTCGTAACTTTTTCTTTCTCAACTTGAGTCAGATTCGTACAACTCGCTTTTCATTTTGGAACACCCTATTGTATTGTATTTCGTTGCACTCAAACCATATTTATTTATTATGATAAAGTGATATACCATTTCTTAACATTCTTACACCTTTATTTGAAATCATAACCAAAGAAAATATACTATTTATTCTCATTATTATTACTATTATTATTTTCATTTTCATTCTCAGCAATACAAAATTAGAATAAAATTTTATTATTATCATGAATCTACCAACAAATTAAACTTCGTCATTATTACATGAACTCCGACTGCTATATATATACACTAGTGCAGTGTCCGTGCGATACACGAGCTAGTTTTATTAAGATAAAAATTTAAATTTAGATAATTGTAAGAACTTAAAACGCATGTATTGAAATAAAATAAAATGTAATTTATATATTATTAAACGCATCCCCTGCACACAATATTATTTGTTTGGTTTTTTGTTACACCCACAAATTATATAATGATTCTATATAGGCTTAAATAAATGAACTAAATTATCTAGCAGAATATATATGATAGGATTTATACTGGTTTTATGAAAAATGCATAACCAAATATAACATAGATTGTAAAACGTCTTTTTTGATAATCTATAATTTTATTATTTTAAAATTGTAAATTACTTAATTTAAGGATTGGAAAAATTGTGTAAGTGTATGCAATTCATTTCAAGTTTGTATTCTAGAGTATTAAACAAACTCCAAATTTTTAGGATGTTTCAATCTGATTCGATTTGAATTTCAAATTAATAGTATCTGACTATGTTTTATGTTTAAAAAAAGTATAAAAAGTAGTAGCCAAATGATAAGGGATTTTTAAAAATTTTAATTCTCAATTTGAAATTAGGTCTGATTTCTATGGAATTCGATTTTTTTTTAATAAATATAATTTATTGCAATTAGGTAAACATTCATATTATAGTATTTTGCCTAATTTGAAATTCAAGATTTTATGGTAAACATTTTTTTTATATAAAAAAATGCGAGGATTCTAACTTCTACAAATTTTTGTGCCGAATTTTACCTAAATTTATCTGATTTTTTTAATAAACAATTGATTTATTGCAATAAGGAAAAGATATATGTGATAGTATTTTGCCTAATTTGAAATTCTCGATTTTATGGTAATCAATTTTTTTTATATATATATAAAATGAGAAAGAATTTTGACTTTTGTATAAATTTTATGCATCAGTCGAAATTTATCTAAATTAAATCCACAAAACTCATGGATTTAAGGTGAAATATATACCTGATTGATTTTTTTTGGAATAATTTAAAAAGAAAATTCAAAAAGTGCAAAAAATATAATGCAATAAATGTTGGTTGACTTCTTTTGTTCTTATTTTTGGTAAATAAATTCTCTATTTATATAATATAAATATGTAATTTACAAATCATTTCTATAATATTGTAATCCATTCCAAAATATCTCTTTTCTTTTTCCATTTTTTTTAGGTTTCTATAATTGCATAATATAAAAATTTCCTAAAAAATCTACTTGCAATATACGACACCCCATAGGGTAGCCAGAGAAAAATTGATTAGTGTTATGAAATACGGAGAATATAAAGAACACAATGTATAAAAACCGGATATAAACTATAACAACTTTCTTTCTTTCTTTCTTCACTTTTCCGTGTATCAAATCACATTACATGTATTGCCTTTTATAGGCAAACTTAAGGCACACAATCCAATGTATATTAAATATAATAATGTAGATATGGTTTACTAGTGGTAAATTCCACTTTTACATAACATGTTATGAAATACGGAGAATATAAAGAACACAATGTATAAAAACCGGATATAAACTATAACAACTTTCTTTCTTTCTTTCTTCACTTTTCCGTGTATCAAATCACATTACATGTATTGCCTTTTATAGGCAAACTTAAGGCACACAATCCAATGTATATTAAATATAATAATGTAGATATGGTTTACTAGTGGTAAATTCCACTTTTACATAACAATTAGTTGTATTGTTTGTCTGTTAATTAATTGTTGGTATTTTTTTGTCCCAAAACCAGCGAAGCCACGTGAGATGAAAGCAGCTGAAAGAAATATATTAAAGGAGACGAGCATCGCCACGTCACCATCGCCCGTGGGTCCCACTTTGTCATTTCGCCAGCTGTCATTTTGGTCAGCAATCGCCATGATTGATGTCAGTGATTCCTCAATTCAAATCATTAGCTTCATTTTAAGGTGTAAGTGTGATTATTATCTTTTAATAATTTTTTTTTTTTTTTTATTGAAAATATGTATTTATTATGGAAAAAATGAAGTTAATATAATAGTTTTTT